CGCAGATAACAATGCAATCTGGCGCAAAGCTGTTTAAAAGAAACGTTTTTTTTTTTTTAAATCCTTATTGTTTTCTCAATCTGCCAGAGCCGAAATCGAAATTATGATAGTTAATGTTTCTATTACGCACTAATCACCATCTAAACAACAGAACCGCACAGAAATTCAAAACAAGGATATTTCAGTCAGGACGGTTGGTTTCAAACATTGAGTCTTGTTCAGAAAGAAGACGACACCTTGTTTTTGTTGAATTATCTATATTTTAGATTAAAATTAGAATTAGGTCACGCGTTTTAAATAGTAAAAACAGTGCTGGTACACACCACAAGGTATTTGAAAAATTAAATATGTAGATACGCACAATAATATGTCTATTATGGTAGTGCTAAAACAAAATGATGTCTAAAAAAACGGACTGGAAATGGGTTGGTTGCCTGCAGTCTGGAAAAAGGCACTGTTGTTAGCGTGAGATTTTAAAACGTCTGCTTCTTCTTTGTTCTTCTTCTTCTTCTGTTTCTTTGCGTTCGGTTTCATATGATAAGATCAGACCATCGGATGGGTTGCGTCTTTGAACTAACATGTCAGTAGCAGGTCCTTGATAGTTCCCCAAAGCTTGCTCTGCATACTTTGTTTTTGAGGCCAGGTGTCTTTTGAAAGTTGTAGGTAGAGTGGGTAGGTCTGCAGAATGTGCTCAGGTGCTTGTGGTCCTGTTTGACAGGCACACTGTGGGGACTGTACAATCTTTTTTTTATTTCTTTTTTTTGTGTGTTGATTATGCATGTGATAGTTGAGCATGCAGTGTCCTCTACACATGCATAAAATAAAGATTTGCAATCCTCACAGTGTCTCTTTCAAACAGATTTTAAAACGAACTGAGACAATTACAGGAAACTATATGTGTATATATATAATATATATATATATATATATATATATATATATATATATATATATATATATATATATATATATAAAACTGGGCATTCACCACAATAAAGCTTGGTTATATTGTAACCACTGCAGTCTGTAGCAAATGTTAAGTGGCTGGGACTCAGTCTCTTCCAAGGTGCGACTTTCGTACAGTTGTCCGACAACCACACCGACGGTATTTTTTTTTTTTTTTTTGGAGCCGCCCACCATGAGAAACGTACTAAAGTAGCCGAAGATCTTGCAATTATTAAAAGCTTTCACTAACCTTAAATTCGTAAAGCCGCCATAAAATGAAAAAAAAAAACCGAAAGATAAATATTGAAATATTAAAGTAACAGACAACATGAGATAATAACGTTACCTTGTTCTGTGTACATTTTCCACCCCCGCCTGCCCTTTTCCCGCCCACTGTCTTACCTACTTTTTCGTTAAGCGTTTTACAGTTCACTGGCTTTGGTTTCTGGATATTAACTATCTTCATTTTGTTCGTTTTCGGAATACTACATTATGTCATCCCAGTACGAGACGCATTGCTTTTATTATTGTAATGCCCTATTCTGGCTGTCGTCGGGGACCCCTAATATAACCTAACTGTTGAACAAGGTTTCTGGAACTGTCTCGCATTTTTATCCGTTTTTATCTAGCTGGGGATAATCCGGCGACATACGCGTTTTCCACAACAATCTTTATCCACTCCAACTAAATTAATAAAATGGCAGACGTAGGTGATCTCGCTTGTGTATATGCAGCCCTCGCCTTGGCTGATGATCAAGTAGCAATCACTGGTGAAAAGATAGCAACCCTTCTTAAGGCAGCTGCTGTCTCAGTTGAGCCTTACTGGCCAGGGTTTTTTGCCAAGGATGGACTCAACGTAAGAGATCTGATCACCAATGTAGGAAGTTCCGCTGGTGCTGGACCTGCAGCCGCTGCTGCCCCATTTGCTGCTGCTGCTGCCCCAGCTGCAGGCAAACCTCCCGCTGCAGAAGCAAAGAAAGTGGAAAAGAAAGAGGAATCTGAAGCATCCGATGATGACATGGTCTTTGGTCTGTTTGGCTAATCGCCATTGACAGTAAAATAAATATAAATGAAAAAAAAACTTGTGTGGTACCGGATGTTTTTAGCGTATTGTGCCGTCTTGGTGAGGATGAACGTCATTCATTCGCTTTCTGACGAAGACTCAGTATATGTTTACCTTTATTATCAGACAGGGAAAGTTGTGGTGACTGTGGACAACTGTTAAATCTCAGGGTCTACTACTTTTCGTAAAATGCTTCGACGAAAAGTCTCACGATACTTACTACTCATGTGATAATAAATAAATATATTCGATGACGAATTAATCGATTCCATAAATATTCCTAACCCAAAAGTAATTAATCCAAGGTTTTTGTACTTTCCATAAACTGAAAACCCCGGCACAAGAGTAGCAGCCACACAAGTCACACACACGGGGATGAAGCAGCAAATGAACAGAATTGAAATCATTACAACCATTTTAACGACTTTCTGGTTTGAACTTGTCAACTTGGCGGCTTCTTCAGGCCTAGCTGACTTTTGTCTCCACTTTGATTTACTCTTCAGTTCAGTGACTAGAACGACAGTACAGACTGTTATGATTACGAAAGACATAATAGTAACGGCGAAGAAGTTGATTGGAAATGAAAATTTCTCAAAGTTCACGACCTCTTCTGTAAAGGCTATTCCAAGAAGAGTCTTGTTTCTGTCTGGGTAATATTTGTTAGCGAGTTTGTAGAAATAGTACTGCGGCAAAGAGCTGCCTATGAGGACAACAAATATACTGATAGTGAGGATGGTCATTCTCTGTGGGGTGGCGATGTTTTTGACCTGTAAGGAAACAATGTAGAATTATTAATTCATCACTGGACAATGAGATCATGACACTTGTATGACAAAAACAAATCTCTCCTATTCTGGGGCTGCTGGACAAAAAAAAAAAAAAGTTAACTGATTGGCTCCTGTTTAGGAGACTCGGCGTTGGTCACGTTTAAATTACTCAGTCTCAGTATAGTATGAATGTCATCATTTCATATTCCGAAGTTTTGACTGTTGAATGCAACGTTATACGTGAATTGCATTACCCAAACACACAGCAATCTAGGTTATTATTGTTAATCTAAACTGATACAATCATACTAATAAAAAATAAAAAATAAAAACATATTAACACGTAATTTAATCCTAAATGGCTTGAATGCAGTAGTAGGGGCGCAAAAACACGTTGTTATGTTTGCATTGAAGTGTCACTTGCAAGCTAGAATAATGTAATCACTGTCTAAAAACTACTAGTAGTTGAAAGGTAAACGTGTTTAATTGCCGTTTGCAGTTCTTTGGAGTTGCTCAGCTGGCAGGACAGTCGAAGAAGCCAACGGCGCCTTCTTCTTGACACCCTGCAGCATGACGATGTAGGTGATGGCAGTAATGCATGCGTTCGCATGGCTCGAAACCCAAAACTACACCCGCGCATGTATACTTAGTGATTCATTGAGTATGATCCGGAAGGTCCAGGCAGGTTCAGTGGATTGAGTCACTACAGAAGTCCACTGTGCGTGAAGTCACCTTCTATTTTTGTTACGGGACAAACCGGCATCGATGGAAATGAATAGGATGATAAGCTGGCTAGATCTGCTACTGACTATGCCTCATGCTGACATTATTATTGCCCTCTAAGAAATGGGAAGGGTGTAGGACTTTGGGGGTAGTAAATCCACATTACTGGCCAGACTGATAAACTTGGGAGTGTAGATCAGCATAGCGTTACTTAATTTTCCTTACGTCCTTCTTAGGACGTAATTTTTTGTTATTTGAAGCCCCACTCTGGCTTTTACCAGGGGCCGCAATATAGGCAGGCCATCAGTATGGCCAATTGTCTGAAAGCGGTTTTTTGGACCTCTTCCCGGTGATCCTCATCCGCATGATGGCACTTTGTGTCATCGGGTGTTTGTCGCTTGTGTGATGTCCTGGTGGGGTAGAAAGTCAGTCAGTCAGTCAGCATGGCGAAAAACAAAACGCTGACCAGGCACATCGGAGGACTTGTTAAATCAACTTAGAAGTGGTACTATTAGCCACCGGACACTGGGGTTTATACTGAGGGGAGAATCTGAGCATCTGTGGACATGTCTGGAGTGCAATGATGATAACCAAGCTAACTTACAAACTAACATGAACGGAGCAATCATGGGGTACTTTGTTGTCAATGAAAATCAAAACTTGACTCGTGCAGCTGTTGCTGATGCCGCTACTACTGCTACTAATACTACTACTACAACTACTACTACTACTACTTCTACTACTACTGCCACTACTACTACTACTGCTGCTGCTACTACTACTACTACAGTGTTGCTACTACTACTACTACTACTACTATTACTACTACTACTACTACTACTACTACTACTACTACTAATACTACTACTTCTGCTGCTGCTGCTACTACTACTGCTGCTGCTGCTACTCTACTACTACTGCTGCTGCTGCTACTACTACTACTACTGCTGCTGCTACTGCTACTACTTATCAACTTCATGTAGCAGGTCCTTTGCAGAACGTCGCTCTCATCACAGTCTGCCTGAAAGAAACTCGGTCTCTCGCCAGTTCTCCCGCCTCATGTACTTTCACACTCAAGGAGTCACTTATATCATGTGCCCATTTTCGTGTCGGTCGGCCCCTGCCCCTCCTTCCTGGTACCATGCCTTCTGCTATAATTTTTTCCAATCCGTCGTGGCGCTTGATATGACCAAAATATTTCAGCTTTCGAGAAAGGATGGTGTTTATTAGCCAATCTTCCTTGATGTTCAGATCTTTTAAGATGTCAATTTTTCATCATCTTCTTTGTCCAAGATATTCTGAGAATCTTTCTATAGCAATTCAGCTCAAAAGCCCCTATTCTCTTTCTTAAGGACTGAGAGATAGTCCACGACTCACATCCGTGTGTAGCCACAGGGAAAATGCATGCTCTCAAATTTCTAATTTCTTTTTAATTGCTGTCTCCATTGTTGTTTATTATAGAGCCTAGATATTCAAAGTTTGTGACATTTTCAATTTCTTTATCATGTATTGTTATTTTTGGATGACAGCCAGTTTTATCTGTGGACATTATTTTCGTTTTCTTTAATTTCAAGAACAGATTTTGATCTTCACTGTGCTTTTAGATGGATATTAAATTTTCTATTCCCTTTACGCTGTTCGAAAGGAGGACTGTGTCATCTGCGTAGCGGAGTTCCAGAATAGGGTTGCCTACTACTGCTACTACTACTACTACTAATAATAATAGCAGTCCTATTGCTGCCACCACTAAAGTAAATTCAGCTGCTTCTGCGCAGACATTTTTTTAAATGCATGTGTGTGCGTGTGTGTATGAGTGTGTATGTGTGTGTGTTTGAGCCTGCACACTAAAGTTAAAGAAACTTTAAAAATTGTAGACTTCTGCTTCTGATGCCCAAATTACTCTGTAGTTTGTTATCATTAACACACACACACACACACACACACACACACGCACACTTCTTCTTCTTTTGCGCATTTACCGACTGTAAACTCTAGCTGAAAGTTGTGGTTGTTCGTCCACTTCTGGACAGCAGTCCTGTTCCAGAACTTGAGTGTTGCGTGTGCATCAGTTTGACAGATCTGACTAATTTGAATGCAGAATTTTGGTTCCTTGCTTATGAGGCAGATGCACTTCGGCTTTGAAGGAAGCTCTCAATTAATCGACTCTTAAGACATGCTTTTGGGTATTCAGTGGGTCTATTCGTGTTTTCCTTTTAACAGGGCTCCAGAACCCACACGGGTAATACACGCACACAAAACTGCGATTTTATACATTGCTATAATCACGTATATAATAACGACATAGCTAAAGCTATGAGTGTGTCTTCAAGGTGTCTCAAAGTTTCTACCTTCAAAGGCAAAAACTACACACCAGGCATCTTTCCAGGGTGATGGTGGCTGTGATCCAGCTGCTGACTCTTGAGAACATCACATGGGTAACCCCAGAAGTC